ATATTACACATATACAGGACCTGATGTAACAATAATCCAGGTCCTGATGCAACACTGATCTAGGACCTGATATAACATTGATCCAAGACCTGGTTTTACACTGATCCAGGGCCTGATGTAAGACTGATCCAGGTCCTGGTGTAATGCACATCCAGTCATGATGTTACACACATCCAGGTCCTGATGTAACACTGATCCAGGTCCTGATGTAACACTGATCCAGGTGCTGATATAACAATAATCCAGGCACTGATGTAAGACTGATCCAGGTCCTGATATAACATTGATCCAAGACCTGGTTTTACATTGATTGATATAACACACATCCAGGTCCTGATGTAATACTGATCCAGGTCCTGATGTAATACTGATCCAGGTCCTGATGTAACACTGATCCAGGTCCTGATGTAACACTGATCCAGGTCCTGATGTAACACTGATCCAGGTCCTGATGTAACACTGATCCAGGTCCTGATGTAACACTGATCCAGGTCCTGATGTAACACTGATCCAGGTCCTGATGTAACAATGATCCAGGTCCTGATGTAACACTGATCCAGGTCCTGATGTAACAATGATCCAGGTCCTGATGTAACACTGATCCAGGTCCTGATGTAACACTGATCCAGGTCCTGATGTAACACTGATTCAGGTCCTGATGTAACAATGATCCTGGTCCTGATGTAACACTCATCCAGGTCCTGATTTAACAATGATCCTGGTCCTGATGTAACACTCATCCAGGTCCTGATGTAATACTGATCCAGGTCCTGATGTAATACTGATCCAGGTCCTGATGTAACACTGATCCAGGTCCTGATGTAACACTGATCCAGGTCCTGATGTAACACTGATCCAGGTCCTGATGTAACACTGATCCAGGTCCTGATGTAACACTGATCCAGGTCCTGATGTAACACTGATCCAGGTCCTGATGTAACACTGATCCAGGTCCTGATGTAACACTGATCCAGGTCCTGATGTAACAATGATCCAGGTCCTGATGTAACACTGATCCAGGTCCTGATGTAACAATGATCCAGGTCCTGATGTAACACTGATCCAGGTCCTGATGTAACACTGATCCAGGTCCTGATGTAACACTGATTCAGGTCCTGATGTAACAATGATCCTGGTCCTGATGTAACACTCATCCAGGTCCTGATTTAACAATGATCCTGGTCCTGATGTAACACTCATCCAGGTCCTGATGTAACAATCATCCAGGTCCTGATGTAACAATGATCCAGGTCCTGATGTAACACTGATCCAGGTCCTTATGTAACACTGATCCAGGTCCATATGTAACACTGATCCAGGTCCTGATGTAACACTGATCCAGGTCCTGATGTAACACTGATCCAGGTCCTGATGTAACAATGATCCAGGTCCTGATGTAACACTGATCCAGGTCCTGATGTAACACTGATCCAGGTCCTGATGTAACACTGATCCAGGTCCTGATGTAACACTGATCCAGGTCCTGATGTAACACTGATTCAGGTCCTGATGTAACAATGATCCTGGTCCTGATGTAACACTGATCCAGGTCCTGATGTAACAATGATCCAGGTCCTGATGTAACACTGATCCAGGTCCTGATGTGACACTCATCCAGGTCCTGATGTAACACTGATCCAGGTCCTGATGTAACACTCATCCAGGTCCTGATGTAACACTCATCCAGGTCCTGATGTAACACTCATCCAGGTCCTGATGTAACACTGATCCAGGTCCTGATGTAACACTGATCCAGGTCCTGATGTAACACTGATCCAGGTCCTGATGTAACACTCATCCAGGTCCTGATGTAACACTGATCCAGGTCCTGATGTAACACTGATCCAGGTCCTGATGTAACACTGATCCAGGTCCTGATGTAACAATGATCCAGGTCCTGATGTAACACTGATCCAGGTCCTGATGTAACAATGATCCAGGTCCTGATGTAACACTGATCCAGGTCCTGATGTAACACTGATCCAGGTCCTGATGTAACACTGATTCAGGTCCTGATGTAACAATGATCCTGGTCCTGATGTAACACTCATCCAGGTCCTGATGTAACAATGATCCTGGTCCTGATGTAACACTCATCCAGGTCCTGATGTAACACTGATCCAGGTCCTGATGTAACACTGATCCAGGTCCTTATGTAACACTGATCCAGGTCCATATGTAACACTGATCCAGGTCCTGATGTAACACTGATCCAGGTCCTGATGTAACACTGATCCAGGTCCTGATGTAACAATGATCCAGGTCCTGATGTAACACTGATCCAGGTCCTGATGTAACACTGATCTAGGTCCTGATGTAACACTGATCCAGGTCCTGATGTAACACTGATCCAGGTCCTGATGTAACACTGATTCAGGTCCTGATGTAACAATGATCCTGGTCCTGATGTAACACTGATCCAGGTCCTGATGTAACAATGATCCAGGTCCTGATGTAACACTGATCCAGGTCCTGATGTGACACTCATCCAGGTCCTGATGTAACACTGATCCAGGTCCTGATGTAACACTCATCCAGGTCCTGATGTAACACTCATCCAGGTCCTGATGTAACACTGATCCAGGTCCTGATGTAACACTGATCCAATGCCCTGATGTAACACTGATCCAGGTCCTGATGTAACACTGATCCAGGTCCTGATGTAACACTGATCCAGGTCCTGATGTAACACTGATCCAGGTCCTGATGTAACACTGATCCAGGTCCTGATGTAACACTGATCCAGGTCCTGATGTAACACTGATCCAGGTCCTGATGTAACAATGATCCTGGTCCTGATGTAACAATGATCCTGGTCCTGATGTAACACTGATCCAGGTCCTGATGTAACACTGATCCTGGTCCTGATGTAACACTGATCCAGGTCCTGATGTAACAATGATCCAGGTCCTGATGTAACACTGATCCAGGTCCTGATGTAACACTGATCCAGGTCCTGATGTAACACTGATCCAGGTCCTGATGTAACACTGATCCAGGTCCTGATGTAACACTGATCCAGGTCCTGATGTAACACTGATCCAGGTCCTGATGTAACACTCATCCAGGTCCTGATGTAACACTGATCCAATGCCCTGATGTAACACTGATCCAGGTCCTGATGTAACACTGATCCAGGTCCTGATGTAACACTGATCCAGGTCCTGATGTAACACTGATCCAGGTCCTGATGTAACACTCATCCAGGTCCTGGTGTAACACTGATCCTAGTCCTGATGTAACACTGATCCAGGTCCTGATGTAACAATGATCCAGGTCCTGATGTAACACTGATCCAGGTCCTGATGTAACACTGATCCTGGTCCTGATACAACACACATTTAGGTCCTGATGTAACACTGGTCCAGGACCTGATATAACACACTGTCCAGAACTTCCTGTCAGAGATGTTGAAGCCCTAATGTGGATTCTCAGATGTGCAGTCCTGACTGTGGTCCGATTATCAGATTTCAGTTATCAGACTTTTGGAGCATGACTCATCACTGTTGGGTTTACACAGCGACAAAGTGTTTTTTTTTTTTACTTTTAGTTTTATTTTCTTTTTAGTTTGACTAAACTGTTTATCTTATTTGAGTTGTTTCATTTCTCACTGGCAACATGCTTGACAGTTTTTGCATGGAGCGTGTGCACCCAGTTCATCGTTTTGGTTCTTTTTTGTGCAGACTGGTTTTGTGTTTCTGTGAATTTTTGTGATGAAAACTTTCTCGCTCTCTCTCCCCTTTGGTTTGTTTCTCTCTTAGTTGTCTCTCCTCTGTGTGGGGAGCTGTTTGCTGCAATGCTGTTCACTGTAATTCTTCACTAACCTCGCCACCTCACCCTCTCCCCATCCCTCCTCCGCCCCTCTCATTAAGGTCCTGTGGGGTTCCGCAGTAGTAGAGATGTGGGGTCCTTGTGTTGGGGGGGGGGGGGTCTGAGCCCTTCAACAGCTGTAGATCACTTCTAGTGTTAAAGTGGAGGAAGGAGGCCAGATGTTGGTTTGTTTTATTTGCTGTTATTCATGGGGGGGGGGGGGGGGGGGGTATTGAAAAACCAAGGTGCATCTTCATATTAATGACTGGTCATCAGCTCCAACCTGAAGAATTAAGGTGAAGAGCATTTATTTGACGTTTTTCTGATTTTCCCCCTGTGTGTCCTTTTACTCTTGTCTATTTGTCTGATTCCTTCTGAGATGAAAATTTTGTTTTGTCTCTTGTCTTCTATCTGGCTTTTTGCATCCTGCATGAATTGACTATGAGCCTTGTTCCTGCCTTCCTCCTCATCCTGCTATGAGCTCTTCCACCTCTCCTCTGCTTCTTCTCTGAGTGAGCTGCTGTTAACCAGCATGGAACCAGCATCCCCTCTGCTTGTCCCCCCTCTGCACCGCTCCTGCTTCCCACCCTTCCATTTTTGGTTTCCTCTCCGCTCCTGATCTCAGCTCTCACATGATTGTAACGCTATCATTCATCTGCTCATCTCTTACTGTTGTAGTGATCTTCAATGAATGACAGACGTATTAATGGTTGAGCTGAGGGGCCGAGGTCATAATATGTAAGGCCTAGAAGGAGTCAGAGTAATGCGGATTTAATGTCTAATGCAGAGAAACAGGAGCATCCATTTTATCTCAGACATCTTTCTATCTTCTTACTTTCATCCCTCTGGCTTAGACCATGGGGAGATGATGGAGATGCAAGGTTTTGGAGGCAGCCCGTCGTCGTGGCAACAGGCTGAAGTAACCACTCATGAGTCCCTGTGCCAGTCCTGCACAACGGCTGGTAGCATCACGTCGTTCGTCCACATGGCCGGATGCACCTGCATCCATCAGCAGTCTGACATCCACACGTATGCTCTGAAGCTTTAAACATGTTCATAATGTTCTGCCGAGGAACCGTATTTCTCTAGAGCAGCAGAGTCAAAGTTTTTGTGTGTGGTATCTTCTCCTTGTTTTTCCCTAGAGTTCCACTTAAGATGCTCTGTCAGAACATGAAGAGGCAGATTGTCTCCAGAGCTTTCTACGGATGTACGAACACTTTCCTTCTTCTCAGGATTGTTAATGTTACTGGTTAAAGTTTAAACTTATCAGGCTTCATCTAGCCTCTGAAGATGATCCGGTTTCTGCAAAACAGCACAGGCCATTTAAATTCAGTTCTTTTTGTTTCAGGTTAAACATTAAACTTTGAGAACCAAACCGAAAGTTTTACGTATCACGTAAACAAATAAAGATTATTTTCAGTCCTACCGGGTGTTTAGGAGCTTAACGTTCCACCTGCTCATTATGTCCTGTTTTATTTCACTGCTGAATTACAGACAAGAGTACTATTGATTTTTTTTAATCAGTCAAAGGAATCTGCTAAACAAATTCATAGAGGAGCAGCTAGGTTTGGTGATTTAAAACATCCGCCTTAACAAGTCATCTATGCAACAGGCTGATTCTTTTTTCTGCTAATAAAATCAGATATGAGCTGCTTTAAATTCTGATTATGGCACTAAAAGAGAAGTTTTGTTCATCTGAAAGACAAACATCAAGTGTCTTATTAAAGACATCCTCAGACACACATTTTATATTAATTTTTACATTAATTTTACTTCACTCTACTGTTTTACTTGAGCCTAAATATTATGCTATTTTGGACATTTAGAAGTAAAGTTCACTCGTCCTGATGTTACTGCTGTCTGTGTCTCACCTGTCCATCAGGGCTCGCATACTGCCGACACCTGTCCACCGTGCGGACACACCTGTCAGCTCTGGTAAACCACAACATTGTACCTCCAGACAAACCCTGTGAGGCATCAGGAGGCCTCAGCAAAGAGGTCTGGAGCAAATACCAGAAAGACTGCAAGGTGTGTGTAGACCTGTTGAGTTATGATCATTAGATCAGTGAGACTGAACAGGAGGGATGTGTCTGTGTGTACGGTGTTGCCGTTGGAAACGGGCATCGAGTACCTGGTCTTGCATATGTGTGTGTGTGTGTGTGATGTGGGTTGGTATCAGAGGTGGGTAGTAACTAGTTACATAAACTTCTGTAACTTTTCTAAAAAATATACCTCTAAGAGTTTTTTACCGCATTGTACTCTTTAAGTTTACTTGACTACTATTATTATGAAGTATCTCTACTCTTACTCAAGTAAAGTCTCTAGTTTCTTTCCCAAACCAAGATCCAGCATATTTTAACAAGAAATGCAGCAGACACATGCAGCAGACACACACACCCACCCACACACACACAAAACACAAAGATAACCCTAACCCGCACACACACACACATATACTAGTCTCTGTATCCTTATGTGCAACCTCCATTTACTTCCATTGATTTTAGTGACACCACTATCCCTAACCCATGCCCTAACCCTAACCATAACCAATGCTGTTTTATTCCTAACCTAAACCAAAAGTGAATTCACACCATATCTCTAAAACCATGTTTAAGGGTATTTTGTCATCGTGTGGACCAGCCCAATGCCCCCACAATGTGGAAATGTCCACACGCTACTGGTTAAATGTTAATAAGTGTCCACTTATGCATATAAAGACAAGTACACACACACACACACACACACACACACACACACTTCATAGCTTTCTATTTCAAAACATCAAAACTGTCTAAAACCCGTTTTTATTCCCACTAACTTCCTGTGTGGTTGTCCGGGCTCCCGTAGCAGCTCTTCTCTGCTTTTAGAGCAGCGTTCCTTCCATGTTCCCTCCATGTGACTGGAGAACATGGTAAGAGCACACATATGAAGGAAGCATCCCCTTTTTCTTATGGTTGAGCAAAGCTTAAGTGAACATGAGCCCTGCAGGGTGATGCTATTGGTGTGTGTTGGAATTCTACTTGATGCTCTAATTTGTTGAGCTGCGGTGCTTCTGGTGTACTTCCACCTAAAGAGGAGAAATAAATGAGTCTTACTGAAGCAGTTGTTGATCTGCAGGGGGAATCTTTTGTTTTTGAATAAAGCTTAATTTCACACTGATTTTAAACGTTTTAAGGTGGATCATTTTCCACATGATCATTTGCTGGAAAATACATAAAAATAAATGAAAGTGTAAGAACCTAGCAATCCGCTTGGAGGTGAACTTTAGTGGTCCATCTGTCTGTAAAAGGCTGCTGAGAGAGTCCTCTTTCATGTTCACAACCTTTTATTTCTTCTTTTTCCTGTTTAGAAACTAAGTCCCACTCTGTGAATCCTGTTACATAACTAGAACCTGCTCTAACTTTAGAACCGAGCTTCAATCACCTCCCGGTCTGGTGTGTTTTTATTCTCTCAGACACAGGAATCAGTGCTCCTCCAAGCGCCACCCTGTCCTCCCTCCTCCAGCTGAAGATTTAATAAGTTTTAGCAAACTGAAGTCTCATTACAGAGTTCAGTGCCTACTAAAGGCAGCTGCTGTAATCCTTCACCATCCTAACAAAGCCATCATTACTAATTCACACTCCTCATTTCTGCATCCTTTATCTTCTCTCTTCTTCTGACTCGAAGCTCCTTCAATTATTGATGCACTTCCTGTTCCACGTGAGCTCATGTCATCTTTCATCTTGTGTGTGTGTGTGTGTGTGTGTGTGTGTGTGTGTGTGTGTGTGTGTGTGTGTGTGTGTGTGTGCGTGTGCGTGTGCGTGTAGAACTACAAGGAGCTTGAGCTGCTCAGGCTGGTTTATTATGGAGGAGTAGAGCATGACATCAGGAAGGAAGTTTGGCCTTTTTTACTAGGACACTACAAGTTTGGCATGAACAAAAAGGACATGAGCCAGGTAGAGCGCACACACACACACACACACACACACACACACACACTTCACTTCAGTCTTGGTTTAGAGCTCACACCAGGATTTGTCTTTTTCTCCTGATGAAGATTGACGTGAAGATCAGCGAGCGCTACCAGCAGGTGATGCGGGAGTGGAAGGCCTGTGAGATCATCGTCAAGCAGAGGGAGAAGGAGATGCAGTCAGCCATCTTTGCTAAGTTGTCGTCAGGCAGCAGCATCGACAGCCACGTCTTGCGACTTGTGCACAGAGACTCCACTCTCAGCAATGAGGTGATGGGTTCAGTGAAAGTTCTTGCAGACTATAATAATGTCATGTTTCTCGTTTAAAAATCACAGTAAATAGTTTATTGTTGTCATTTATTTACCAACTCAGAAACCCATTAAAATACAACATTTTATTATTTTTAATCATAAAATATGCTGAATAAATCTTTGTAAATAAAGCTTCAGGTTCCCTGGGTCTGATGGGTGGACATACAAGTGAGTTCATTATCAGCAATCAGAAAAAGATCTGGGTCCTTTTAACTGTAATAGTGTTTATTCATAACATTGTGAGTGAGAAATGATCACAACCCAACTCAAATGTCTAGGTTCTCCCATCTTTACTCAAGCCGTTCCTCCCTCTCTAATGTCCCTCCTCCTTCAGGTGTTCATGTCTGTGGACGAGCCAGATGCAGGAAGTCAGGAGACCCCCAGCAGAGAAGACAGCACCCCCACCATGACCACTCTGCTTCCTCAGGCCGCTCTGCCCCCAGAAGAGCGTCCTCTAGTGGAGTTTGACTCCCCTGACTCGGGTCTCCCTTCCTCCAGAAACTACTCCGTGACCTCTGCTCATTCCCAGATCTTGTCCAGCATAGATGATTGTCAGAGCACCGAGGAGGAAGGAGGTGGCAGGGAGGAGAACAGGACTCCAGTGGTGGGACGTCAGGACTCTTTGACTGAGGACAGGCTGTGCTGTCAGCTGGACAAATTGGTGACCAGTGGAGCTGCTGCAGATGGGACACCGGTATCTCTCTCCTCCTACACGGTGCGTGTGATCGATCCTTTTATCTAATTAGACTAAAGAGGAAAAACCCTCTCATTGCTCCATTTGTGTCACCACACCAGTTCCTAGGTACGATTAGCTGTGGCGGCCATCTTTGATAGGGTTGACTCCAACATTGAATCAGTTCTACATCCAGTCACAAAAAGTCCCAGGAACTCAAGTGGTTTAGCAGATGTTTCACTAACAGACAACAACCAGAAATCAGCTGCTGACAGGGGTCAGCCAGTATTCATCAGGTTGTCCAATCAGAAACCCTAAAATCACTTTGCTTTTTATTTTTGTCCTGAACACACCCATTACGCAATAGTAATAGAAGTTCTGACACTTTTTCAGGTCTGTAAACACACCATCACTAACTCATATTATTATTTGTTATGATTAGAGTTGAATGTACCCATAGGGGGTCCTGGAGGGTACGTGGGAGTCCGCCCAACTAATCAACATGTACTTTGCAGATTTGGAGAAGGCGTTCGATTGCGTCCCTCAGGGAGCCCTGTGGGGGGGTACTCTGGGAGTATGGGGGACTACACCCTCTGATACAGGCTGTTAGGTCCCTGTATGACCGGTGTCAGAGTTTGGTCTGCATTGCTGGCAGTAAGTCGGACTTGTTTCTGATGAGAGTTGGACTCCGCCAAGGCTGCCCTTTGTCACCAATTCTGTTCATAACTTTAATGGACAGGATTTCAAGGCGCATCCAAGGTGTTGAGGGGATCCATTTTGGTGGACTGTGGATCAGGTCTCTGCTTTTTGCAGATGGTGTGGTCCTGTTGGCTTCATCAGAACATGATCTCCAGATTTTGCTGGAGCGGTTCGCAGCCGAGTGTGAAGCAGCTGGAATGAGAATCAGCTCCTCTAACTTTAAGACTATGGTCTTGAGTCAGAAAAGGGTAGAATGCCTTCTCCGGGACAGGGACGAGGTCCTGCCTCAAGTGAAGGATCTCAGGGTCTTGTTCACAAATGAGGGAAAGATGGAGCAGGACACTGATAGGTGGATTGGTGCTGCATCAGCAGTAGGGATGGAGAGATTCACCGATCTGAACCGGTGGTTTGTTTATGGCCTTAGCAAAGTGACTGCAGCTGTAGCTCCAGTGGGCAGTAGATACAGCTGACGGCTATCTCACAATGCATCTTTACATGCATGTCTCTTTGTTGGTAAATCCCATCAATTACTTCATAGTTTACCTGCTATGCACTCATTTTTGCAAGGCCCATGGAACGCATCATAAGTATCTTAGCGTTTGCCATTCAGGAAGTCAGGTGGTGTGCAGCTGCAGTTAGAAAAACAAACCATATTAAAAAATGAGCTTCCTTTCTTAATTTTCCAAATAAAAATAAGCTTCCTGAGAACCACAAACTGCAGACTGTTGATAATTTGCACATTTGGAGTTCGTGATACAGTCTCTGACCTCAGCAGCAGTGCAATTTTCAGAGCATTTTAAATGATCTGCACACCAGAAGCTTTGAGCGAGGTAATTTTAAATAATCCCTTAATATTGTAACATTTGTGCAGAGCTAAAAAATAACCACACAGAATGGCATTTTGCCCAAAACCTGCATCTCCCTGCTTCTCCAGCATTTGCATTCACTTTCCTCTTAAAGGAACGGTAACATTAGGCTACAACAGCAATTGCAATAGCCTCATATGGATCAGTATTTAGACATGTTTTCAGACTTTTACAGTTTAATAATAAGTCCTAATAATTTTATGATTCTATTGGTTATTTTCCTGTCTAGAGTGACTATTTAAACCTCATGGTTGAAAATGTTTTGCATTTTGCAGAGAATCACAATGATGGTTCTTTTTTAACAATTATTTCAACAAAGTATTAAAGCATTACAAATATGTATAATATATGAATATCAATGATAAAGTGCATTTTCTTTTGATGTTGATCTTATTGATTAATCAAAGTTACATCTTTCACAGAGAAAGAGAGAGGGATAAATAATGGTGAGGGAGTTTAACAACCACACGTGGGCTTGTAAATTCTTTATGTGTTGAATCGTTTCAAATCACATCATGAAATGTCTTGAACCAAAAATAGTTGCAAAATCACAAAAAAACTTCTGAGCAGGGATGATTCGTATTGGCAGTGGGTTTCACCATATCGATAATGTACTGGTAATGTATTGGGATGCAAATCGAATGGGCCTCAGTGATGGGAATTCACATCTCTAGTAGGGCTGAATGATTTTGGAAAATAATCCAATTGCGATTTTTTTTCTTCAATATTGCAATTGTGATTTAATTCATGATTATTTTATCAAGGGGCTGTTATCATATTTTTCAACTAATGGGAGCAAAAAATAAAATCTATGTAACTTGTCTAAACAAGTTTGTGTATCTACATATTTATCTACATATCATATCAGCAAGTTTATTTGTCTACATAAACAAACACTCACAAGTAAAGACAAAATTTTGTATTTGAAGGTAATGTTTTGCAGTCAGGAGCACATCCCTTGAAGGAGCATAGGTATTAGCATAAACTGTGAAAATGTATTAGCAGAAGAAGTGTGTCCCGTTTATTGAAGTCTTTTGTGTTTAGAGTTTCTAACGTCTTGTCCATGCAGAGCTTCCGTAGTTCCGTTACGTTCATAGCTGCTAGCCAACTGAAGTTCTGTTTCGTTCCCTCCTGACTGCCAGTGGCAGTAAACAGAGTGGATGTATCTCCTCGCGCTCTGCGCAGGTTGAGTACTAATGTAAACAAAGTCAAGCACGTGACACGTAGCGCACCTGGTCGCGAGTCTATAAATTACGCGCCGATAGCTACGTTCGGGTCTCTTTGATCTTCTCGCTGTTGGCCTGGCGTGCTTCGCTGGTCAATCGCTCCGTAAGTCCGTGATTCAGATCTTATCGGTCTAGAGGTGAGTACTGTTTCTACTTGGCATCTTCCTGCCCGGGACCGTGTCGTCGGAGCGCTCGAAGGAGCCCTCTGGGGCGGTGGATTGACGCTGCTATCTGTCATTTGTTACAGAGAGCGGTTGGTGCGGCCGGCGCCGTTCGGACCGCCGCTGCCGGCTCGGATAGGGCTCACTGGCGGTCGCAGGTTTTCCCCTGTGGAAAGGGGAGGTGGGTGCGACCGGCGAGCGCTACAGGTAAGTGGGGCTGGACGTTCTGACCGTAGTGGTGGCACGCTCAGATTACCCAGCCGACACACGCACATGTGTTGTTTTACAACTCCAGGACTGGATCGCGTTCTTCAGTTTTCCTCGAAGTCCTCGCTCAGTTCCTGTGCCGGGTGACCGACAACTTACTGTGCCGGGCTTACGACATCGGGGCAAGGATGGCATGCACCAGCAATTCGCTGTTGGTGCTGCTGCTAGCCCAGTCCCAGATGCTGCAGTCGGGCGCAGCGGGGATGGCACTGGGCGATACAAACGACGCAGCCCTGCAAGCGTTTGGGCTGATGTCCAGGGTGCTTGGTCGGTTGTTGGGCACACTGGTAGTGGCTCGCCGTCAGGTCTGGTTGGCGCAGGCCCCGGTGTCGGATGACTGCCGACAGAGCCTGCGCGGTCTGCCCGTGGTGCCCGGCCAGTTGTTTGGGCCTGAAGCTGAGAGGGCTTTGGAATGTTGGCGGCAGTCCAGACAGGCCGCAGAGGCCTGGAGTGGGCGTAGTGGGGCAGGGGTCCTCCCCGTGCCACAGTCCAGGCTACGAGGGGCACGGGACCCTCGGCGCCGGTTTCGTCCGGCCGCCCCTTGCAGGTCACCCAGCAGACCGCGGCTGCGGCAGGAACTTGGAGACGCTCGGGGGCAGGTCAGGCACTGCCCCGGGGATCCTCGGGGCAGGACAGGGGCTGCCGCCCCCCCCCCCCAGGGCCCCAAACAGGAGTCGAGGCACCGCCTGAGGGCTGTGGGCTGGCGGCGGACAGATTTACATCTCAGCACCTGGCTCTCTGGGAGGCCCAATGCGGAGACGCTTGGGTGGTTTAAACCATGTCCCAGGGCTACAGGTTGCAGTTCCGCCGTCGGCCCCCACCCCCTTCGGGGGTCCGGGTGACTTCGGTCACAGATCCTGCACGGGTCAGCATCCTGATGCAGGAAATAGATGTTCTCCTGAACAAACGGGCTATAGAGGTCATTCCGCCGCATTTGCAGGCAGACGGCTTTTATTCTATGTATTTCTTGGTGCCGAAGAAGGACGGGCCCCTGCCGCCGGTACTGGACCTCAGGGGTCTCAATCGGTTCCTGAAGGTGCTGCCCTTCCGCATGCTTCGGACTCGCGATGTCCTTCAGGTGGTTTGTCCGGGGGAGTGGTTTACGACCATAGATCTCAAGGATGCATACTTCCATGTACCGATCCATCCGGGGCACAGGAAGTACCTGCGGTTTTCTTTCTTCGGGAGGGTGTACCAGTTTCTGGTTCTGCCATTTGGCCTGTCTCTCGCCCCCCGAGTTTTCACGTGGTGCGTGAAGGCAGCCCTGAGCCCCCTGTGTCAGGCGGGGTTGAAGGTCCTGCCTTATCTCGACAACTGGCTCGTCTGCGCTCCGTCGTGTCGCGAAGTGGGTCTGGCCACGGCCATGGTCCTTGCCCACATCGAGGCGCTGGGGATGACGGTGAACCTGCAGAAGAGTTCTCTGGTTCTGACTCAGCAGGTGGATTTTATTGGCATTGCCATAGATTCTGTGGCCATGCGGGCGAGGCTGACCGAGCAGAGGAGAGTCCGGATTCGGTCTTTGCTCCGGGCCTTTCGCCTTGGGGCGGCACCCCCGGTCCAGGTGTGGCTACGACCGTTGGGGATGCTGGTCTCGGCTTCTGCACTGGTACCTCTCGGGCTGCTCCACCTTCGGCCCTTGCAGAGGTGGTTCAACGGCTTCCGCCTGGATCCCCGCCGACACCGACGGGTCGAGCTGGAGGTCACGAGCAGCTGTGAGGCTCTTTTGCATCGTTGGGATGATGTCACCTACCTGAGTCTCGGCGTCCCGCTTGGCGCAGTTCCCGCCAGATGGGAGGTTACGACGGATGCGTCACCCCGGGGGTGGGGGGCGCATTGGATGTGCAGGTCGGTCCAGGGGTTGTGGAGCTCCCGTCAGGCACGGCTTCACATCAATGTCCTGGAATTGAAGACCGTCTACTTGGCGCTGAGGCGCTTCTTGCCCTTTCTGCGGGGCAAGCACGTGCTTGTCCGAATGGACAGCACCTCGGTGGTGTTCCACATAAACCATCAGGGGGGCACCAGGTCATTGCGATCGTTGAGGGAGGCTCAGACGCTGCTGACCTGGGCTTACCCTCGCTTGGCCTCCGTCAGTGCGCTGCACCTTCCGGGGTGGAGGAACTCGGTGGCGGATTGCCTGTCCCGGCGGGGTCTTCCCCTGGGGGAATGGAGGTTGCACCCTCAGGTGGTGCAGAGGGTGTGGCATCAGTTCGGAGAGGCCCAGGTGGATCTGTTCGCCTCGAGGAGCAGCACGCATTGCCCCTTGTGGTTCTCCCTGGCAGAGGCCGACGCCCCTCTGGGGATGGACGCCCTCGCCAATGCCTGGCCGTTGGTTCGGCTGTACGCTTTCCCACCTTCTCCGTTGATCTTACCAATCCTCCATCTGGTGAGGGACTCGTCACACGACGTCCTTCTGGTGGCACCAGACTGGCCCATGAGGCTCTGGTTTCCATTGCTTGTCAGTCTGCTGAACGGAGAGCCGTGGCAGTTGCCAGCGAGACGGGACCTCCTGTCTCAGATGGAGGGCAGGATTTGGCATCCGTCCCCAGATCATCGTCGGCTCACGGTGTGGCCATTGAAGGGGGCAGGCAGCCCCCAGTCGGCTTAGAGCCCTCCATCCAGCAGGTACTGGATAGTGCCAGGGCTCCGTCTACAAGGGCCACGTACGCTCGCTGTTGGCAGCGGTGCTCTACCTGGTGTTCCGGCAGGGACGTGGACCCTGGTTCTTGTTCCCTGCATGAGGTTTTGCGGTACCTCCAGCACCTGTTTGACAAGGGCCGGGCCGCCTTGACCGTTAAGGTACACCTGGCGGCTATTTCGGCCAACCACCTCTTGGTGGATGGCAGGAGCATTGGGGCTCACTGTCTGGTGACCAGTTTCTGCGGGGCGTGAGAAGGTTGCGTCCTGCCTTGTGCAGGCTGGCACCTGCTTGGGACCTTCCCCTGGTCCTGCAGGCCCTGTGTGGGCCACCCTTTGAGCCGATGACTACCGCCCCGTTGGCAGTGGTGTCTGTGAAAACCGCCTTTCTCTTGGCAGTGACGTCGGCTAAATGGGTCAGTGAGCTGCACGCACTGGACATCAGCCCCGCCTGCCTGCGGTGGACGGCAGATGGGTCGGGGGTGACGCTGTGGCCCAACGTTGCCTTTCTTCCCAAGGTTCTGCCCTCTGGCTACGTGAATGCCGCAATCTAGCTGGGGACGTATTTCCCTCCCCGATTTCATTCGGAGGAACATCGGCGGGCGAATTTGCTGTGCCCGGTCCGGGCACTGCAGCTCTATATTGTGCCAAACACTGTCCGGCAGTCGAACCAGCTGTTTGTCTGTCACGGAGAAGTGAACAGGGGTCGGGCCCTTTCGAAGCAGAGGCTGTCGCATTGGGTCGTGGATGCCATTGCGATGGCTTATGCGGCAGTGGGTGCAGTGGCTCCCCCTGGGATCGTGTGCCATTCCACCAGGAGTGTTGCTACATCTTGGGCGGCGATGAGAGGTGTGCCACTGGCGGACGTCTGTGCTGCAGCATCCTGGGCAACTCCGTGCATGTTTGCATGCTTCTACCACCTCAATGTTGGCCACGGGTCCACGCTCGCTTCGGCGGTGCTGCCTCTGGTGGCTACCTCCTGAGTGACGGTGAGTTTTATGTTCCTCGTGACACTGCTGGCATAAGTCATCCACTCTGTTTACTGCCACTGGCAGTCAGGAGGGAACGAAACAGAACGGAAGTTACGGTGTAACTATGGATCTGTGAGTTCCTGGATGACTGCCAGTCACAGGGGTCACTCGGAACTTCTCGGGCGAGAAGATCCCGGGAGACCCGAACGTAGCTATCGACGCGCAATTTATAGACTCGCGACCAGGTGCGCTACGTGTCACCTGCGTGACTTTGTTTACATTAGTACTCGACCCGCGCAGAGCGCGAGGAGATACATCCACTCTGTTTGCTGCCACTGGCAGTCATCCAGGAACTCACAGAACCATAGTTACACCGTAACTTCCGTTAGTCTCTTACGGTTTTCTAGCTTTACTAAAATATCTGCCTGTACTTATTTGATTGATGGCAGTTTTAACTTTTTATTAGACTCCAAATGTAATAATTTGGCATGTTCCTAATTCGTTATTTGTAAGAATGTAATCGGCAATATTAGCATCCTTATGGGTTTGTCTATGTATATTAGCATTGTGCTAACCACTCACTGCCAGTCAAATCGCAGCCTTTGGTGAACAGAGAGCTGAGCCAGAAGGCAAGGATCTCGATTTACCAGTCGATCTACATTTCAACTCTCACCAATGGTCATGAGCGGCCTGCCAGAGAGCAGATCCCCAAAAAGATGGTCCGCTGAGCACGGAAAATGCACAGATCCATATCAAGGGTGCCTCCAGAAAATCTTGATAGAGGTGGCCAGATGGGGCCAAAGAATTTTTTGGGGTGGCACACCAAATTGGTCCTTGTGGTAACTAGGAGAGTTCAGCCTGTGGCGATGTACTGTATTGCTCCTTTATTTTATTTTTTTATTATAAAAACTGTGTGTATCCAAAACATTTCACTTACATTTTACAAACACAAACATTTCAGAAAAATACATTTCAGATACTTAAAATGTAATTTTAAATTGTATTTTTAACAGTTTTTTTTAATTCACCTGTTGCTGTGTTCACAAAAAACTATGGAGAAAAAAACTTTTTGAAAAATGGTGAGCAGCAGCAACATTTGTATCTTTTTATTCTGATTATTTCTTTTGTCATTAATTGTTGTATTTTTATGTTGTTTCACAATTATGTATTGAATGAATAAGATCAATTTATGGTTTGAATGAACATTAATATGATTCATTAACACAGGCCTGGGGGGGGGGAGCAATTTTTTAGGGGTGGCCTTGGCCACCACTGGCCACTCCTTGGGGGCGCCATTGATCCAGATGTGAACACAATGAGCCCATCAGGGCTGGGCCATGCTGACCCAGGTATGTTGCTGGCCTGGGAACGCCTTGGGACTCCCCCAGAGGAGCTGGCCCAAGTGGCTGGAGAGTGGGAAAGACCTCGCTGTTTATGGATATTATAGTTGGTTAAAGCGTTTCCTAATTCTTATTTTTATCCTAAGTAATTCATCATGTTGTGTTTAACACTGAAGGAGTTGATGGTAACTCGAGGCATTTAACCGGAAACAGGACGAACATACCAGAGACCTGAAGCGTTCCAACATTCTGGTTACTTTTCACAGATTGAGCTGCTGGACACAGTTGCCCTGAACCTCCATAGAATAGACAAGGACGTGCAGCGCTGTGACCGAAACTATTACTACTTCACCACCACCAACCTGGAGAAACTACGAAACATCATGTGCAGGTAGAAGCCTGAAAGGAGCTTCTGGGTCACTTTGAGAGCTTTTATCATCTTAAAATGTCCCCAGACCAGACCGGCTCAGAGACATTTACTTTACTATGATGTAATAATATATTCCTTAAATGCCAGGTGTCAGTTTCATTGGTTGTTACTTATTTTTAAATGCATCTTTTTGACTTTCCATCTTATTTAAAAATGTTA